GACAAGAAATTGGATTATTTGAAAACACACTGTGTAAAGAGTAATTATATTATAGTATAGGAAAAACAAAAAACAATGATTTAAGGAAAGGAAGTTCGGGCCGGCCCTGTGGCTTGGTGGTTAAGTGCGCGCGCTGCGATGCTGGTGGCCCGGGTTCGGATCCCGGGTGCACATCGAGGCACCACTTCTCCGTCCATCCTGAGGCCGAGTCCCACATACAGCAACTAGAAGGATGTGCAGCTATGACATACAACTATCTACTGGGGCTTTGGGGGGAAAAAAATAAAATAAATAAAATCTTTAAAAAAAAAAAAAAAAAAAAAAAAAAGGAAAGGAAGTTCTTTCTCAAGGGTCAAAATTCCTGAAGTAACAAACAGCTGATATCATAATATTTTTTTCTTTAAGCCCCCTTATACATAAGAAGAAAATATGAAATTCTCTAACTTTTGTTTATAATTTTCACAGTAAATAGAATTTAAAAGTTATTTTAAAAACATAACTGTGATGACTATATCATGACAACAAAAGCTCTCTAAAATTGAACACTCTAGAAATATCATTAAAAGGACTGTAAAAGTAGGAGTGAATCTATTTTCTTCCTCGGCTAACAATATATACAATGTGGCATTCTTGCTGTAGCTAAATAGCCTCAAATTCAAAACAGGGAACTGACATTTTAAGCCCCATTACAATGTAAAACTACCACTGTGTTAGTATGAGGAATAAAAGTTTTTAGAAAGGTCTCAACTATATACTGGAATTAGCTAGGCATAATAAAGGAAAGCAATTAGATTCAGAAAGAAAACACAAGGGTAAGAAGGAATTCAAACTGGTTCACTAAGACCTCTGAATGGTTACAAATTTGGATTGTATTTTTTTCCTAGAAATGTGTTTGGAAGAAAAGATTTGGAAACATCAGAGAGCTGTCAAAGGAGATGAAAGTAACTGAAAACAATGTGGACCAAAAGAAAAAAGCAGGTGCCAGAGAAAGAAATTTGACTGATACCAGAAACAATGCTCAATAAATATTTATTCAATTAATGAATTAATTCATCTTTTCTTAAACACATGAGGACAAATTATTATTAATATCCAGGTGGTATACCTAATACTTGATTTATTAAGTCATCACAACTTTTGACAGATTTTTAAATATTTACTTATTTGATATTAATATATAGCTTCATAAGCCTTATGAGGCTAGACAGATAAGAAGAAATAATGAAATGAATATCTACTTGTACACAGGGAGCTGAAACAGCACACTCACAACACGGTGGGCCAAAAACAAACACACAAATAAAACTGGAAGCATCTGACTCAATAGGGTATAACTGGAAAGCCACAAATTGTACTGCTTATATGCAGCAGTGCTCAATTCAACAGCATGACCTGAGGGAGAGAAGCAGTAGCTCACAGGCATAAGCACTGGATGTGAATACCTATAGCTAATAACCATGTGGACAAGACACAAAAAGGACAATAAAAAAATAAAAACACATCTGAAGCAGCTCACTTGGTAGAATTTTCAGTTATTAAAGATAACTGTATATTAACAAATTGAATACGTTTTGCTTCTCAGGTTGGTAACTTCATCTCTCTCACCAGAAAAGGCTGTCGAGCACTGAAGCAAGAGCAATTTTTTCCACCAAGAGCTCATTCCTTTCAAGAGAGTGAACGCCATTGGGTTTTGATAAGAAAATGAAAGAGTAAGAAAAAAGAAAATGATCTTTTGACAAAGGTAGCAGAATCACCTTTTCTTTAGATAATGAGGAATTTATCTAAGAATTCCGGTTTTAGAGACATTCCTAAATTTTAATAGCAAGAAATGTTCTAACTCACACAATCAAGAGATTGGTTTAGAAAGAAACTACTTGGGGGGCAAAACCTGTGGTGAGAAAGAAAAAAATATACCAAAAAATTTTGGAAGCTATTTGTTTTGTATAAATGTGGCATATAGGCTGAATGTTTTCTCCCTAAAGAACTAATTTAGCAGAGAATTTCAAGTGGCCACAATTTCAGGGATAAGCAAACTGTCCAGAGAAGAGAACTGTCTCTTCAATCCAAGCTAATGGTAACTAACTGCAATTAAAAGAATAATTTTAACCACTACTTCAATACTGTTATGGATAAAAGTGGCTAGATAAAAGCTAGGTCAAAGAACAAGCAAGTTAAATAGATACCTATAGGAAAAATTCAGAGCATAACTGGAAAACTTTCCCCACATTATTTGGGATATAAGTAGAGTGAGTTTACGAATGGGAGAGGAAAGATTATATTAATTTTCAGGAAAAACTCCGCAATTATTGTTCCTTTCTCTACACCTCAAGGTTTGTTTTCCAAGCTCTGTTGGTCTGAAACCACAATGAAGAGCTTATCTAGCAGTTTTTTGAAAAGGCCCTAAGAAAAAATGGCTCATGCTACATATGAGATGGATGTGTACTCAATAGTCAATTTAATAATTTACAATAAAAAAAAATTAACTACCAAACTCACTGATATTCACACTGGCCAGTCAGTGAATTCTTTATCCCAAAGGGAAGTCAGGTTGAGAAATTAAATAAAGATCATAATGCTGCTTGATGATGGATGAAATCAGAGCTAGGAAACAGCCTCTTCATGTCATCCACGTACTCTTGTCCACTCATTCTAACAAGCCTAGAGATTCATTATTCCATTATCTCCCCAATCCTCCAATTTTTAATATTCCAAGTTGCTGTTTCACTTCTTATGATTATATCAAGATTTATACCAAAGCTCTCTGATTGCTCTGTAAGTACTAATCTCTCTTTTAATACTACTAGCTTCTGACTATATCCAAGGAATGAGGATATGTTTCTAACATAAAAAAAGAATGTGTCAAGCAACATCTTACTATTAATCATGCTCTTATTATGAGCACAGGATTAACTAAATTTACTAACAGATGCTTCCTCAAAAGAGGCCCACAGAAAAAGTTTAAATGCAGGAGTAAAGCTCCAAAATCTTTTGAAAATCTGAAGATTCTATTATAAACAAATTAATTCATCTATTTTAAAAACAGGAGCTTCCAAATATTGAAACTGCCACTCTTTTTTTCATAATCCCCTTACTATAGCCACACTGGATAAAAAGATGATTTAAATACCTCCTGAGCAGTATTATTAATGATTATTAATAGTTGCTAAGAACATACAAGTGGAAATGTATAAAAATAAAAGTAGTAGAGATTTAAATTGGTTATAAGGTAAAATCTATAATTTGTCAGAGTGATAAAATTTCTACATGGTAGTTTAGGCGTTCTGCCATTTAAACTGTTAAGTTTCTGGATAGCAGGAACTGTGCCTTGTTCATTATTGTATCTCCAGTACTTAACATAGAGTTATGCACAAAGCAGGTATTCAATACTTACTTTTTAAATGAACAGATAATGGTAGAGGATAGGACTTAAAATCTCACTTTATAGTAACAGCAGCTAATATTTATTGAACACTTACTATGTGCCAGGCACTGTTTAAGAGCTTTATATGGTGTGAAGAGTTAACTCATTTAAATCTCCTTTGGAATGATTATCACCCCCTTTTACAGATGAAGAAACTGATACACACAGAACTTGCTCAAAGTCATTCCACTAGGAAGTGATGGAGCCAAGATTTAAATCGTAGCAGTCTGGCTCCAGAGCTCAGGCTCTTAACTACAACTCCATACTGCCTCTTTTCTGATGTGGCCTTTAAGCTCTATTACTCAATGATTCCTTTTAGCTAACAAGGCTAAAGTCAGACAAAGATTGCAGGGAACAGAAGATAAAGGAGAGACCAAATATAAAGTATTACAATGGTTTTTACTTCGTTTTATTTTACTGGAGAATAAAGAAACTATCTTGAAGTTTATGTTGCTTGAGTCTAAGAGAAGTGACCGCTTTTCCTTTATTAGTCACCATATTCTTGGTGTGTTTAGAGCATTATTTGCAACTATCCTTAAGAGGTCTTGATGACAGACAATCCTGAAAGCTGGCAAATATCATACCAAAGACTAATAAATGGATAAACAAATCTCAATATTTCTATTAATATTTTTAAATTTTATTTTATAATACTTTGCTTTTTCTAAAGACAGCCATGAAGAATAGTAATATACAAAAATGGGATAGAAACATGAATGCAATGTGTTTTGAGTTCCATGAAAGAAGGGAGCTACACTGGGGATTAAAGAAACAGGGAGAAAAGCACTGGAAAGCTTTTCTTACCAATCGACTCCCACCAATAAAATAACTAATATTTATTTATCTCTCTACAATTGAGAGAGCACTTTTTCATAACATTTGTTCACTTGCCAATAACCCTAAAAATATCATTTCTACTTAGAGATATCACACATATATTGGTTGAGTAAAGTCAAGGGGAGAAAACAAAGGTAAGCTCAGAGGAAGGCCAGATGGAGAACTGTATAACAGTATCCCAAAGACATTTTCATTCACTTAGAAAAGGTACAATCAAATCTTTTGATTTCAGTGGCCCTATGGTTTAGCTTGCCTGTATGCTGATAATAATGACGATGATAAAGAATATGGATAATTAAATAAATGGATCAGGTAGATGGAGGATTTACCATGAAACTAAGGGACATTCTAAGATCTTTCTAAACTAAGTGTATAGAAGGGAAAATGTTAACCTTAAAACATACACAAATTACTTATAAATGCTAAATCTAATTTACCTATTTATTTATAAGGCTGGATTACATAACAAATAACCTCAACCTATGCTATTTTAAATAAAGAACTAAAATGTTTAGGTTGATGACTAACTTTATTTTTTTTGTCAATCATGAAATTTTTTGTTTAAGCCTGAGAAAATCTCATCTATATAACCGTGGTCAATTCATATGGTTTCATATTAGAAAACCTGCAGTTACATGAGTCAATCAAAATATTCTTGAATATAATAATCTTGAATATATATATCTTCTACATAAGCAAAATCATCTATAAGAATTTCCAGTTACTTGTCATTGGCTCTTACCCCTTCTTTCGGGTCGGTGTGGAGTCCTCCTCCTGCATGACCATGCCAACATGTCCTCCTTTCTATCAGCGGCCATGCCTGGAGAGCCTAATTGAAGATGATACCAAGCTGTCCATTAGCTACTACAAAATTTCAGATCTTTAAAAATCTGACTGAGACAGTCTAATCTAATGAATGTTTCCAAACAAATTCAGAGGCATAGCTTTTAGCCTAGCATAGTAAAGCAAAACATCTTCCTATTAGCTTACAGACACATTTATACAAAGAATATTGAGATATAACAAGTACTCATACAGAAGTTACTTTCTCTAAATAGCTTCTGAAATTAATGTTTAAAAGATTTAACTTGTATTACACTTCTATTTGACTTATACTGGCTTTCTTACTGTCATTTGCTACTATAGTACTGTGTAATCTGTTACTCTATCATTGGCAAGCAAAGTATATTATACAGTTAATTAAGTATATCTCATTTGCTTTCCATGTGTATACATTTTTGCTTTACAATTTAATATAGTTGATTTTACATAATTGATTATTTTTCTTATTATTCTGGCTTATACATATATATTTAGATACAAAGTATTTTTTAATACCTCACAGTTTATCCTATGCTATAGTAATATGCATACATGCTTTGTTCCTATTACATGGTAAATTTCTTAAGATTAGGGACAGTCTTGCTTGTATCTCCCATGGCACATACTACAGTGTCTTGAATATCGGCAGATTAGATTTCAAAGCTTGTTGGATTAGTTTATAAAATAGAGCTATCTACAAATCTCCCAACCAGCCTTGAAAATATGCAAACATCTTGCCTATTACAATTTTTTTAAAAAGCCTTAAGATTACTTCTCAGGTTAGAGAAAAAGAAATATTAAATCATTTGAGAAAATATAATAGTTAACAAGATAGTAAAGATCAGGCTTAAAATTTAGGCTTGCTAATATTTAAAGTGTTTCCTCAATTAAAAAAATAGTTAATGAAGTCCATGGATATAATAATACTTCTTCAGCAGCCACAATAATCAATAATTAATGAACAAGGGCACAGTCCTTTACAAACACAAATGTGTATCAATACCGAATCATAACAGTATCAGTTCTGGGCCAAGCTGTGAAAATGGAATTATAAAAAGCAAAAGTGCCTTCTTGTTCTCACCAGTTGAGATACAAAAAGTAATTGCCATAAATGGGTTATTGATTTTTAGATCAACAATCTTAAAGCGTTTTTAAAGGGAAAACATCAAAAGGTAATTTTTAGTGTGACAATGTCTTGTTGTAACATTTTTTCTTTCTAAAGGACTAAACAACAAGTTATATCAAGGGGTCTGGTGAATACCACACAAGATAATGAGGTCTTCAACAAAACAGAAGATTAAAATATAAATAAACTTAGTGGTGTCATGAACAATGAGAAGATTGAACATTCTCAGTTAACTTAAAAATTTAATTTAATAATGGAAAATCTAATTCATTTCTATAGCCTCTGTATGAATTACAACAATGCCTTATACCTTAACGGAAAATAATTGTTAATCAGAAAGAAAAAATGAAAGAAGTACCCAGGATTTAGACCATCTTCTAATTTTCTAGCCTTTTTCTATCTTGGAGATTTATTTGTCTCATTTTAAAGCGGTGATAATTTTTAAAAATGTCTTTCACTTACATTATCAATGAAAAATAACCCTCATCAACATGTAAACTCAGCATCACCTACCCCACGTGCTCTAATAAGCTTAGAGTCCTTTGATATTCTGCTATTTGAATATCTTCTAAGGTAAAGAAACTTTACTCACTTAAAAAACATAGCATTCCATATATCAGATAGAAATTACCAGGATAAATTTAAGTGTCAACAAGCTGCCATTACATTTATAAAAGCTTTCTGAAAACGTTACTCTAGTTGGCATCGATCTCAAGAGATTTAGACAGATTTCTCCAGAGGCAGAAATATATCAAGATTTCTTTCTCCATTTCCAGGAGCAGAAACATACCTTCTTATTCATCTTGCCAGTATTTAGAAAAATATGAAAAGGAAAACTATTTGAGAAATATAAAATATGTACTATAAATTGGAAAATGCTCCAAGGGCTTGCACATTTTTCCTAGCTATATGTGGAAGAAGTGTCTGCTTAATCTTACCCTTGTGGCATCTAATAACTGTCTTGAATTGCCTTTCCCCAGTCTCTGCCATGTGGTATGTCTTAAGGACTCTGGGATCTGCAGAAGAGGAAAAAAAGAGGGAAGAAGTTTCAGAGTGGACAGTTAATATTCAAAGATTTACTTTATTGCACATAAATATACATAAAAATAAAACCATAGTCAATGTTAGAGAGATGGCTATGTTTTTAATACATGTCTAAAAAGATTAAAAATAAAATCTGTGGTTCAGGTATAAAGTAAATTATATTACTCATTAAAAGTGTCAAATTGTATTTTCTTTTTGCCTTCTTTCTCTCTAGGTTTCTCTGTCTTTGTTTCTTAAAGCTGCCAAAGTCTTCAACCCCATTTCTTCCTTAAATGGCTTTTACGCTCTTTTCAAACACTCCTCCCTTTACTAACTCCCTTTACTGTATTATATTATGTTCTACCTTGTGTCTGTTCCTTCTTTAGTCTTAATCTGAATGCTAAATCTAGATATTGGTCACAAGATTAGTTTTGCCAAATACTTTATGTAACTAGCTGATGGACTCCAATGAAAGATTCCTTGAGCCAATTTTTTGTCTTGATAATGTTCCAAAAATGGAGTTGAAGGAAGGCAGGATAAGGAACCTGTCCATGGTAATACCAGATAGACATCTGTCAAATGGACACACATTCTTCTGAAACGCACCATCAATTTACTGAGGAAAAATTTGCTTCTTAGGTCAAGTCTCACCCCAAAGGCAGATAATACTTGGGCTTTCCCTAAGCCATAAATGAGTTGTACAAACGGATTAATGTCTGAATATACAAGTCAATGTTGTACACTGCAACAGAGCAAAAATCAAATCAACCAAAAAAACAACCTCCATATATAAAAAAGCTAACCAAATTATTGACAAAATTAATTCAGTTGTTTTCTAAAATGTAATGAACAGTAGTTGATTTCTGCTTATGTATATTTTTAAAGATATAAGGCAGTCTCTGAATTATAAAAATTTCAAAAATACTAATGGCTGTTTGCATACTGTCTTGCCAAACCCCAGCTCCTACAGCACTCCATGTATGCCCTCAAACCTCTATAACCCATCCACTGTCAATTATGCCTTTCTGGTGCTTAACTCAATTGCTTTCCTCACCGCCTTTCTCCATACTAAGACCTTGTACAAGCTTTACTCCTTCATTTTCCTATTTTTCATAAGCCCCCAGTTCACGTAACTGCATATCGAGCAAGATCATGCACGTTTGCACATGCATATGCAATTTAATCTTCTTTGCCTTCCAAAATTTGCCCAGCTATCTCAAGTAAAAGACTACCCAACTACTTCTTTCCTCTTTCTCCAAACCATACCTATATATATCCAATACATAAAAGATGAATGTTGGTGATACACTTAAAGTAACAGCAAAAACATACATTCTTAAGTGATATTGGTCAAAATAAAGACAAGGTACCATAAAATCTAAGCCCTTGAAAGTATCCATAAAACCCCTTCAGAATTTCTAGCTATCTCTTTATCCTTCTCTAATCAAACTACGTTTCCCTTAAGCATTAGGATTCAAGGTAAATAATTTTTAAATGCTCATATTCAAATTGAACTTCTAGTACTAAAATAGCACAGTTAAAATTATGAACTATTTGAGGTATACAAAATTTAGAAAACAATATAATGAACAAAAGTGTACTCACTATCCAGCCTAAGAAATAACAAACAAAAAGAAAGCCCCAATATGCTCCTCTACAATGTCATCCCCTCCTGGTTCCCCAGAGAGAATCAGCACTGATTATTTAAAATATCTTTCATTGCAAAAGGAAAAATAAAAGTCATATAATGGGTTAACTCCTTTTGAGGGCTAGTCCCGCCACCATTTAAAATATTGTTCCTATGGAAAAATGTTTTGAGTTCTAAACAACAAACTTACAGACACTTCTCAAATACAACGCAATTTGTAAGTTAGGGACTATTTCTACTTTTAAAACCCTGAAGGAAGATGGGTTTATAGCAAAAAAAAATCTTTTGCTTAAAAATGGAGGTGGGAAACAAGAGAAAACAAGATGATTAATTCTGTGAAACTTGATTTGAAATTAGAGGGTTGGATTAGATGCCCTCTAAGGTCTCTTCCAACTCTCAAATTTTATGATTTTTATGGAATGAAATGAAAAAGCTGCTGTTATTAATTGGATTTTAAAAATCTTAACTGAGTAGATTATAACCTATTTCTTCAATAAATCTAACATCTGAACTTATTTATAACACCATCCCTCCAAAGACAAACACAGCAATAATCCATATATTACTGATATACTAATATGCCCAGATACCAAATAAATGCAGTATACTAAAAATTACAATCTCCCAGTCTATATGAAGAGGCAGATAAGTTAAAATGTTTACACTGGAGAGTCATGTTTATTTTACGTAAAAAGAAGAAATTCTAGAAGAACCCAGAAGTTAAGCATTCTGTGGCCTCTGAGCATAATAATAATAATTTAGATCAGCACTATTCATCTACTAATCATTAAAAATATTAATCCTCAATAGACAGTTACATAGGCACAGTATCTTACTCTGTGTAGACATTCAACAAATATTTATAAAATGAAAATGAACACTAAAACCATCAATCTAGCAGACAGAACTACCTCCATGTAAATGAGACCAAGACCCAAGCAAGGAGGCTAATAAAGTTGAAACCTATTCCATTACAATTGCATTCTCCCTTTAAGGTAAAAATTTAATTTTTACTAAAAATAGTCCTATTAAATAACTTCTTTAGTAATTACTAGATATGATTGCACCCTTTTTTACAATAGTTAACTTTCATAAATCAAGTCATGCTCAGTGTTTACGACACTTGAAGAATTACCTAATAATAAAAAGAGATTAAAGAACAACTTATAAATTGTCAACCCATCAGAAATTTTGGAATCAATTATATATTCTGCATTCCTGAAGCTTTGGAAACAAAACTAAGCTTACCACTATCCATCCATGATGTATGTAATGCTTAACAGTATCAAATAGTGGTGTGTAAATATTATCATCTGACCATTACAAAACCTAAAACATTTAAAATTAAGCTCTCAATATATTTTTAAAGGCAAACTGCTATAATTTAAAATTACATTTAACTTACTTTAAAAGTATAAAAGTTTGAGATGAATGTTATTTAAACCTGGTTTTCTTCCCAACTGCCTAGAAACTACCTGAGAGGGAGAGAGAGGGACAGGGGGAGAAGAGTAGAGAGGAGGGGTGGGGGAGAGGAGGGGAGAGAGCGCAGGCGACAGAGGAGGGGGTGAGAGGGGGTAGAAAGGGAAGAGGGGGGAGAGGGAGATAAAATGGTAGACTGATTTAGATTTTGTAATTATATTTCTCAGCTGAAAGTTGAAGGATAAAGGATTCCTTTCATTGTGTTAGACATTCAATAAATGCTTGTAGAATGAATAAATGGCAGCACAGCATAAGGATTTGGACAGCTCATGTCACTTGAGTCTTCATTCATTAAGACACAAAATCATCAGGTTGAACTCCATCACTATAAAATCTGATGACTCTAGAACAGGGGTTGGCAAACCTTTTTTTTCCTCTACAGGGCCAGACAGTAAATATTGTAGGGTTTGCAGGCATACAACCTCTGTCACAACTACTCAACTCTGTCACTGTAGCACAAAAACAGCCATAGATAATACATGAAAGAATGAGTGTGGCTGTGTTCAAATAAAACTTTATTTAGGGACACTGAAATTTGAAATTCATATAATTGTCATCTGTCACTGAAAAATTATTCTTCTTTAATTGTTTTCCCAATCATCAACAAATGTAAAAAAAAAACAAAACTCTTAGCACAGAGGCCTTGGAAAAATAGGTGGCATACTGGATTTGGCCCAAGGGCCATAGATTGCCAACTCCTGATCTAGATAATTTCTAAAATTCCTGCCTGCTGCCTCAAAGGACTCTGAGAATGCCATAGCAAAACAAAACACCTCCACCAAAAAATAGCCACAAAAAACCAACTCATGAACAAAAAATATCTACAGAATTTCCCTCTTTCTCAACCAGTTTTCCTTTTACCTACAAAATTTTCATATATCTGGGGGAACAACACCAGCAGCAAGGCCTATTTAGTACGAAGTGCAAAGTCTTCACAGAGTATTTATGTTTGTTTAGGCAATTTCTGTGAAGTAAGATTAGACATTGTTCCAACTCAGATAAGCAACTCATTTATCATGACATTGTTGTCATCATGAAACTTGGTCATTGCTTCATATGTTTCAGCTAAGTGGTGTCAGATTCCATGCTGTTTGCTAATACAGCAACAAAGTATTACAAGGCATTTGCCAAATTCATGGCAATAAAAACCAATGACTGAATATTAAAAGGTAAGAAAAGACGTCAGAACCAATTATTTTTATCTTTTTTTTTATTAAGGTAACACTGGTTTATAAAATTATATCGATTTCAGGTGTACATCATCATAATTCGACTTGTGTATACACTATACTGTGTTCACCACCAAAAGTAAACTTTTGTTCCATCACCGTACAAATATGCCCCTTTACCCCTTGTGCCCTCCCCTGCTCCTCTTCCTCTCTGGTAACCAACAATGTGTTCTCTATATCTATGTGTTTCTTTCTCATTGTTGTTTTTTATCTTCCACATATCAGTGAAATCATACGGTTTTGTCTTTCTCTGTCTGACTTATTTCACTTAGCATAACACCCTCAAGGGTGATCTATGTTGTTGCAAATGGCAAGATTTCATATTTTATATGACTGAGTAGTATTCCATTGTATAAATATATCACATCTTCTTTATCTATTCATCCACCAATGGGCATGTTGATTGCTTCCACGTCCTGGCTACTGTAGATAATGCTGCAATGAACATGGGGTGCATACACCTTTTCAAGTTAGTGTTTTCGTATTCTTGGGATAAATACCCAGAGGTGGAATAGCTGGATTGTATGGTAGTTCTACTATTTTCTGGAGGAATCTCCACATTGTTTTCAATAGTGGCTGCACCAATTTACATGCCCAATAGCAGTGTATGAGAGTTCTCTTTTGTCTATATCCTCTC